CACTATGAAAAGAGGCTTTAAGCCAAAGTCACTCACTCACTGTCAGAGAACAAATGCTTGAGGCTCCTAAGAGAATAGCAGACACCCTTTTGAATTCAATTTCCATAAATGTGATTAATGAACATACAAACTTCAAGAAGAGTTTTATAAGCTACATGTATTCAGACTGAAAATTGTCTAAATTGATCAAAATGTTCAGAAGCCTTGAAATATATATGTATAATACAGTCAAATCCCGATGAGTCGAATGCCGGTGTCTCGAATATTATGCATAACTCGAAGTACCTGTCGGTCCCGACCATTCCCTGTTATAGTTGTCATCATTTGAATACCGGTTACACGAATTCGTCTCATAAATACACACGATGACTCGAGAAGGAAATTTGGTCCCATCAGATTCAAACAACAGCAATCTTGTATACATAAGCCGAAGTCAGTCAATGAGAAGTTGATTGGTGTAGCTAACTGATCCAATTAACAAACCAGCACGGCTCACACCTTTCCACCTTTGTGACGGTGAGTTCAAAGGCAGATTAGTGATTTTACGGAAATCACTGTCTGTGCTAATCAGACTGGAACTGATAAGGTGCCCCAATTAGTGATAGGGAAATCATTAGATAAAACAAATGCTTAGGCGGAGGAATTAGGACTGGATCATCTTTTTTCTACCCTCATAGACATACCAATGTCTCGAATACATCGATAAGTCGAATTTATTACTTGGTCCCCAGAGATTCGACTCATCGGGATTTGACTGTACTTTAAGGACAGTTGGGTATTATCATATTGAGATTATGCCAGGAGGTTTCTGTAAACAGAATGCATCCTCCCCAGAATTAAAGTACTGGTACATATTGTAGGGCTGGGACATGTTGAAGTTTTGGACCCAGGTATGCAAGGTAGCATTACCCGACCCGAGTACAAAGTACAGCTTTATTTAGAGTTAATTCCCTTTCTCATGGAAATTGTAACTGTGATATTTTGACAACAACTCAGAAAACCAAATGCAGGTAGTACAGTGTGGAACTGAACTTTAAGCTGGTGGTATGACATTAAACACGATCCCGTAAGTATAGGATATCTCAGCGTGACGCTGCACATACGACAATGACGGAGTCTCAAGGTCCAGGAACACGCGTTAGAAAATGCGCCAACATAGCGATCTCCGACCATGACTCTCCCCATGTTTTCACTGACAACAAAGATCACTACCTGACGAAAGTCGTGAACAACGGAACGCTTCTCGTGGCTTACGTCCCTACGCAAAGACCGTGGAAGACACGATATCGCTCACCAACATTTTCCTTTTCGACAACATACATTTCATGGGTTTAAAGTGCACGTCCGAAAAGTGCACGTAAAGTGCACCCGGGGAAACTGCTGAGAGCTGCGGTATGATTTTGCAGAAATCAACATAACGTAACCAGCCAGCCAGCCAGCCAGGCGGTCGGCTGTACAAGCCGAGTCGAGACACACACACTGCGACTGGCTCACAGTGCTCGCTCAATGCTTCCGAGATGGCAGCCAAACGACGACCGGGGAGGAACTGCTGAGAGATGCGTTTCATTCACTTTCAGACATCTGTAGCCTCGCTAGTCAGCCGGCCGTGCATCATTATAGCCGAGCAGAAACACACACGCACACACACACTTATACCCGTCCACGGCGCTTGCTCAAAGCAACCCCCGAGACGGTAGCGAGGTGATGACTTCTGAGACCTGCGTTTCATTCAGCTAAAAACACCTCTCGCCTCGATAATATATAACAAGTACGACAAAACGTTGGATTGTTAGCCTTTCGCTAGACCGACCCAATGCTCACTAAAAAGTGATTATTTCCTAAACTATTTGACCGATTTTCGTGAAATTTTGCATGCATCTCAGCAGATGGTTACGTCATAGCATAACAGCATTGGGAACACTCTCGATGACTTCATTAGATTAATTAAGACTTAATTACGACAAAAAGTTGGACATTTTGCCTTTTCCCGACCGATCCCATGCTCACTTAAAAGTCAATATTTCAGAAACTATTCAACCGATTTTCATCAAATGTTGCATGCACCTCAGTAGTAGTATACACAATGGGCCTACGGGATTAAGGACTTCCCAAGGGCTCAATTTTTAAATTAATTTTGTATTTCAATTATGTTGTCTTTTGTACACCAAATAGCTGCAACTTTTGAGAATGACTCAATATAGTGTTTATATCGAGGAGGCTGTTTTCCCGACTCCAAGGGTTTACATTTACTACCAAGCCAAGGAGAAGTGTTTTCACTGAACCGTCATGAATGTAAAACACAAATATGTATTATGTTCAGTTTGTGCAAATGTTTTGTGTACCTGTACTGATCAGAACAACATTGATGGAAGAGCCCACAAATGATGGAACAGCCTGTGTCAACTGGGATGTGATTGGCAGCCAACACCTTGCCTCGCATGCGCAATGCATGTGGTCTGCCTGCGCTACCCGTGTCCTGCACGTGCGCTGCCCGCAGTACCTGTCTTGTAAGGAATACATGATTCATACTGACAAACACTCTCATTCCTCACAGCGATCCTTCGTAGCCTAGTGGATAAAACCGCCAAGCTGGAGAGCGAAGGGTTGCGGGTTCGAAACCAGTTATCGCCACTATATATTGGAAGTTTTCAATAATGTGATATTTTACAATCAGTGATTGTTTAGCAAAACAAAGTTGTATCAATCATAACCTAGGTTACGAAATGGTCGAAATTTAACCTGATATGAGGTTTCTAAACTTGTAATTCAAAACCTAGGTTTAGAAATTATCAGTGCAAAGTCACAGCCGAGATCTACCTGATTCTGGAGGGAACCTACTTTACTACAGACAAAATCGGAGATAGGTTTATAATTCAGGACCCAGGTTGTGAAAAATATTTCCCGACTCAGGTACTAGGGTAACTCGTCCCAGACATATTGCATATTCATAGAGCTAATGTTATAGGCCTTGTGAGACAGCTAAACTAACACTGGTGTTTGCATATTGCAAACAGACTTGACACTAATCCAAAACTGTTTTTTGCATATTGCGAACAAACTTGACACAACTCCACTGCAGTAAGCTAATGTGATCAGAATGTATGGGTGTTCACAATGACCCCAAAAGTACTAAGGCTAATTTTGGTTTCAGTATTTTCTGGTAGTTACCAACTTTAATCAGTTAAAATCAGTAATTACAATGTAGTTTTGTCGGGAATTGGTTAACATCTCATAATTAATAATTGGTTCATTACAACTAAGCCTTTAAGATAAATCCAATCCTGACTTGGAACGAGCTTGTAGTGCTTATGAAAAGTAGGAGACAAAACCACCTGGTGAAAAATATTGTTAAAGCAAACCAGTGTTCCAGAATTGTTTGTGTTCGATTATGAGAAAAATTACTTGGTCGTTTAGTCATTGCGACCAGTCTTCGATTATTTCAATTAATCGGACAACCACTAGTAATTAGGGCTGTAACGATGCATCGAACTATCGATGGATTGCAATTGTTGAGTCTCCGATAGCAATTAATCAATGGTAGAAACGAAAAACTATCGATGCATCAATAGTATGTGTGACTATCGATAGTTTAGTAATTGACTTCTGTTGATAAATGCGCAGCGCAAAATGCAGGAAGTACCGGATTCTTTCACTTTGATTTAGAGTTATATATCCACACCTGTTACCTCTTAAACAATCTTGATCTGGGTTTCAAGTTTCTTGTCAGTTATTAAAAGAGACTGAAACTACGTCAGCTTGTTTTTATTTCCTATAAACTATACATTCATTTGGGAAATGACTTCAAATGAGACAATTCAAGGAGAGAAAAATCTATTGCAATAGTATTGCAATGGTTGGTCGCAATTGTATGTTACAATAGACTATCGCTATCGCAATAGTTGTTTCCCCCTCAATATTCACCCCTACTAGTATGTACTGACCAGGACAGTGGGTAGCCAAGTGGTAAGTTGTTTGCTGATCATGCGCAAACCTGCCACTCAATCTGTATAATCAGGGGCGGAGACAGCTTTTTGAGAAAGGGGGTGTGCACACTATTGAGAAAAGGAGGGGTGCACACTCAATTTTCACCTGAGTTTCAATGGTAATTTAACAAACTTTCAGCACAAAAGGGGGGGTGCGCACCCCTGCACCCCCCTTCTGGATCTGCCTATGATAATGAGGCTGGGACTGAAGATCTTATATCTGATGCGATTCTGTTCAAATCTGCATCACTACCCACATGACATACAGGCATCATTCGCTTCCTTGACAATGATCAGGGGTGGTGGGGTAGCCTAGTGGTTAAAGTGTTGCTCATCACGCCAAAGGCCCGGGTTTGATTCCCCACATGAGCACAATGTGTGAAACCATTTCTGGTGTCCCCGCCGTTATGTTGCTGGAGTATTGCTTAGCGGCATAAAAATAAACTCACTCACACCATCTCAATGATCAGGCGCGGTGAAGTAGCCCAGTGGTTAAAGCGTTTGCTCATCACGCCAACAACCCAAGTTTGATTCCCCACATGGTTACAATGTGTGAAGCCCATTTCTGGTGTCCCCCGTGCCCGTGATGTTGCTGGAATATTGCTAACTGCGGTGTAAAACCTTATTTAGTCAGTGATAGATCTTGGGGAGAAATTGATAGACTAGGCAACAGATGGTATCAGTTTTTGCTAGATTCAGTTGTAACTTTTAAACAGCTGTCCATGTTCATGTCACAGATATGATAGTCTGTCTACACCCAGCTTGTACAGCAGTTACATCATACAACAGACATGCATTTACATGTCGAACTGTCCTGAACCCAGAGGCTGGTTGTAGGATGGCATGTTGTCCATAAGCTTACAATGTACTGAATGCTTCCTCCTTATAGGGCGGTGGGGTAGTCTAGTGGTTAAAGCGTTGGCTCGTCATGCCGAACACCCGGGTTCGAATCCCCACATGGGCACAATGTGTGAAGCCCATTTCTGGTGTCCCCCCCCCGCTGGAATATTGCTAAAAGCGGCGTAAAACCAAACTCAGTCAGTCAGTGCTCCTTATAGGGCGGTGGGTCAGTCTAGTTGTTACAGCATCCACTCGTCATGCTGAAGAACCGCCTCCGTGGTGTAGTGGTTAGAGCGTCCGCCCGGAGAGCGGAAGGTTGCGGGTTCGATCCCCGACCGCGTCATACCAAAAGACGTTAAAATATGGTACTTGTTGGTCCCTGCCTGGCGCTTGGCATTAATGGGTACAACAAGGACTGGTCGGCTCGGAGTCAGTATACTGTGTCTGAGTGGGATATTCATGCTTCACTGCGGCATGGTATCTCAGTGGGCTAGCACTATAAAACCAGCTTCAGTCTGGGCTAGTACAAGCAGCCGCACATACACATACACACGCATGCACGTCGTCATATGAGCGAAATATTCTCAAGCACAACGTTAAACCTCACCTCACCTCACCTCACCTCACCTCACCTCACCTCACCGACCTGGGTTTGATTCCCAACATGGGCACAATGTGTTAAACCCATTTCTGGTGTCTCCCGTCGTGATATTGCTGGAATATTGTCGTAAAACTTGACTCGCTCCTCCTTTTCATAGACGACATACAGACCCGTGGCAGTTATATTTGGACACTTGACGTAACTTCCATAGACTTACATGTTAATTTAGTGTAGCATAAACAATTTTCATAAATTTAATTTTCGTAAGATCCAAGTCAAATTTTGTGTACTTGTGAGGAATCATCTTACCTACTATCACATAATTTCTGTTTAATTTTCCGTTGCTTATTTATCAAATGGCAACAATTTAATCAACATATGTACAGTGCCGTGAACTCCTTTAACATGGCGGCCTATGGGATTGTGCATTGTGGAACTATATGGAAGTTAATAAATGTCATTGTCATTATTTAAATAGTGGTCGGAAAATTGAACTGAAATCATGAGCGCAGAGCAGAGGTGATTTCAAACTTGCCTGTCAAATTTTACAAAGATCTATCCTAAACTCACTTAATGAAAATTATTTATGCTACAGTGAAATAACATGTAAGTTTATGGAAATGACGTCAGGTGTCCGAATATATATGGCACGAGTCTGTAGCAACCCTCTTAAAGTAGAATAGGTTGCCCTAAAATATACTTCCAATGAATGCAGTTTGTCTATCATGGCTGGTGGGTGCTGCACCACCTGTCTTCTTATTATGGGTGGTCCTTAACATATTTTGAGTAGTATATTTTGGCCTGTCCACTATTAGGGAACAGCTCTTATTTAACATGTTTTGAACTAGCATTTATAACAAGACAGGCATTAATGAAATTTTCCTGGCTCTATTTAAAGGTGGAGTTGTAAAATAGATGGAATGATAATTGACATGAATCTCTGTTAAATGACCTAAACTGTATGTCATTCTATGCCTCACTTAAAGAAGGGCATGAAAGGCAAATGATCTAATCTCTAGCAGATGCTTTCAGGAATCTCTGGCAGTAGCTTAAAGGAATCTCTAACGGGTGCTTTAAGGAATCTTTAGCAGGTGATTTAATGAATCTCTAATAGGTGCTGTATAAAATATCTGGAAGGTGCTTCAAGGAATCTCTAGCAGGTGCTTTAAGGAATCTCTAGCAAATGGTCAAGTAATCTCTAGTATGTGTTTTATGGAATCGGTAGCAGGTGCTTTAAGGAATCTCTAGCAAATGGTCAAGTAATCTCTAGTATGTGTTTTATGGAATCGGTAGCAGGTGCTTTAAGGAATCTCTAGCAAATGGTCAAGTAATCTCTAGTATGTGTTTTATGGAATCGGTAGCAGGTGCTTTAAGGAATCTCTAGCAAATGGTCAAGTAATCTCTAGTATGTGTTTTATGGAATCATTAGGAGGAGCTTTAAGGAATCTCTAGCAAATGGTCAAGTAATCTCTAGTATGTGTTTTATGGAATCGTTAGCAGGTGCTTTAAGGAATATCGAGCCAGGAATGTCCAGCAGATACCTGAATGAATCTCAAGCAGGTGGCCTTAAGAAGCTAGTTCAGTGTGGGGTTTAAGTATCAGTAAGGTTTATAGGGATCAAGGGATGGCCATGGTGACAGGTTCTACTGGACTGTGCATTAAGGGACCGTTCAGTCGGCTTACTGAAATTATAGGTGCATGTTAGGTTGGACAGAAATAGAGCATAGAACAGTAGCTGTTATCAGCTTGAGATTGTCACAGACTGGCACAGCTTGTTGACAGACACCAGAAGATGGCAAATAACAGGATCGGGTGGTCAGGCTCGCTGACTTGGTTGACACGTCATCGGTTCCCAATTGCGCAGATCAATGCTCATGCTGTTGATCACTGGATTCTCTGGTCCAGACTCCATTATTTACAGACCGCCGCCATGTAGCTGGAATATTGCTGAGTGCGGCAGAAAACTAAACTCACTCACTCACTCACTCAGCAACCCATGCTTGCTGTAGTGTGCGACTGCAGGATCGGGTGGTCAAGTACGGTCACTTATTTAGGGTCAGGTGGGCAATCACTCTTTTGGGGCAAGTAATGGTATTCCAGTTGCGTAGGTCGGTGCTTATGTTCTCTTCATTGTCGGGTCCAGACTCGATTATTTACCGACCTGTGTCATATAGCTGGAATATTGCAGATAATTGTTAATCCAGTCAGCTTAAAAGGCTTAATACAACATGACAGGAATATGAGAAACACATAATTCCACACAGTTTGTGTGTCAAATCTAATGTTTCTCACTGAGTTTTATGTTGAGAGAAAGGATAAATCTTGAGATGTTCCAAACCTTCCAATATTGGCCAACTGTTCCATCTCACTCACTCACTCACTCACTCACTCACTCACTCACTCACTCACTCACTCACTCACTCACTCACTCACTCACTCACTCTCACTCACTCACTCACTCACTCACTCACTCACTCACTCACATTCTAAACAATGCAGTAGTATTTATTTCCTTGATGTATAAACAAAGTTGGTAGCCTAGCTCAAGTCTAGAATGATTTGAAAGTCTAGATTGCGTCAGCTCCAAGTTCTGGAGATTTAGATTTTATTCTTTCATTTGTAGATATATATTTTACAAAAATAAGTATCAGTCTAGAAGTATACTTGAAATGTCATTTATCTGACAAAGACATTATCCATAACAGTTTCATGTATTCACATTCTTCTAAGTTCGGATTTCCCTTCAGAGGCTTACCTGATATTTGTAAAATATTTGCATTTTATAATTAACGTTGCATTGTTCCCACACTTTGCACTGAATGTATTGTTGTACAGGGTCCTTAAACAGGGTCCTTAAACATGGTTTGGTTTGTTCTATATCTGCTGGGGCGGTGGGGTAGCCTAGTGGTTAAAGCGTTCGCTCGTCACGCCGGAGACCCAGGTTCGATTCCCCACGTGGGTACAATGTGTTTAGCCCATTTCTGGTGTCCCCCGCCGTAATATTGCTGGAATATTGCTTAAAGCGGGGTAAAACTAAACTCACTCACTCACTCTATATCTGCTATCAACCGTATTGTTTCTTGTAGCAATCTGGTCTATGTAACGTGCCAACCGCATTCCCCGTATGCTGTAAAAGCATGTGCAGATCATGAGTGTGGCACGCTCGCGTCTGTATCCGTGTAGTGGTTGGCTGGTAATAAACGATGAAGGCTGCTTGATGTTGTGTCCTGTGCTGGCCAAATGAAATGAACGAAAACACTACAGTCCCGATCCACAGAATGTTTGTAGCACTACTGTATTCGTAAGTGTATACAGTTACGACCGGTCGTAACGTTACGAACTCTTTGTTGATCGGGACCCAGATTCACTTACAATAAAGTAAGAAGGTGCCGTCTATGTGAAAGTCACAATGGGGCATTAGTCAGTAGTTTCACATTATCGTTGATCTTATTGACAGAAAAATAACTGAACCTTGAACTTGCAGTCAGAAGCAAGAGTGAGTGTTGCCAGATCAATAGCTATCACTGATGTTGTAGAAACAGAACTAGCAGTTGATTATGTCAGCAGAGTGTTTTCATTGATCTTATCACATCAATAGGTTTTACTTGTGCTTGTCTGAATAAATGTTGTCAGCGATCGTCTTCGCTGATGGACAGGTATAATTGATCTTGTCATCAGGAGAAATGTTAACATAAAGAAAAAAAATAATATAACTAGATAAACTCATATTTATGTACATTTTGTGAAAGTAAAAGATAAACTTTGTTACATTTATTTGAAACTCATCCAGTAGTAAAGGGTGGTTGCATAGCAACGATTTTAGAGTGTTATCATGCTGAAAGACATTGTTGTGATAATTCCTCAATATGCCGAAAAGCGGCATAAAACCATACTCACTCACTCATTTGGATTCCTGGAAATACTGAAATGTGATGTTAGTCTGACATGTATGCAGTCTGTATATCAAGGGGTGTTTTCCAACACAGTGATGTGATTACAATATGGTGGGTTGCATATTATTCTCCAGGGCGTAGATTTTCGAAGCTCTCTTAGCGCTAAGATAGACGTAAATTAATGTTAATGTATGGCATTTACGACTGTCTTAGCGTTAAGAGAGCTTCGAAAATCTAGGCCCAGGAGTATGTACCATGTAACAGTCAATGCTACAGTTCCATGACAACCTGTCTTTGACTCAGTTTCTGATGGTCAGAACCAGGGTGTATTTGTTTCTGATCAGTTGTAGAAGATTTTGCTTGATATCTTTAAACCCAGACTCTGGGTGTATTTGTTTCTGATCACTTCCGGGTGATTTTCTTCAGAATTCAACAGGATGGTTGGGTAGCTTAGTGGTTAAAGCGTCTGCTCTCCATGCTGAAGACCTGGGTTTGATTCCCCACATGGGTTCAATGTGAAGCCCATTTCTGGTGTTCCCCTCCATGATATTGCTGGAATATTGCTAAAAGAGGCGTAAAACCAAACCCACTCACTCACCTAACCTTATGGGGTTAAGGATAACACCACAATATTTTGTCTGTGGACCACATGTATGTGGTACATACAAGGTCATCTGACATGGATAAGTCGCAAATATACACAACAGTAAAAGTAATGAGACATTTGCACATCTTGTTGTTTCTTCAGTAAGCTGGTTGTTTGTTGTTCATGTAAGGGATAGTCTGTGAATGTTGTGGTTCAGGGATGGAGGAGCGGTGGGGTAAAAGCGGCGTAAATCCATACTCAGTCAGTCATAGATAGTATCATTCTTATCGCTCTCAGAATCTTTCTAATCATGATTGGGTCATCAGCCATAGTAGATTTCAGGCAACAGAATTAGCTGTCAGTGTGTGAATCAGTGTAATGGAACAAGCATTCATTTTGGTGCTACGTTAGCCCTGCATTTAGGCAAATCATTGTGACTTAAAAGTAAAAGGTTTCATGTTTTATGTCAACCTGCCCTGTAAAGAAGCTGTTTGTACGTTTCCAGCAACCACATCCCACTTTGTTTTGTATTTTCAGGTAGTTCCAACACACCCAGTTTGCCGATTTATTTCCCTCAAATGCGATCTGGGTTGTGGACGGGTCAAGGTGGTGCTGGAGGACGTCCTCAGATTGATCCTCAGATGGGTCCTGCCCAAGGTTTGGGCATGGGGTCTGACAGGAGGAAACTGGCTTGTTCCTACTGCGATAAGACCTTCATTGCCCCGAGTGCACTGAAATACCATCGAGAGTCTGTTCATGAGGGAGCAGTGCACCAGTGTGTCTGCGGAAAGACTTACAAATACAACACTGGGCTAATTGCTCATAGGCGCAGTTGTGCAGTCATGTTAGCCCTGAATAGCGTGACTTGATCAGGAAGAGTCAGGGTTGACTCAGATGAATCTGTTCGGAGGATGTCTTTTGTGGTTTGGTCCATATCTTCATCTTGGATAGATTAGATTTGTCTGTTGCTATGAACCATCTGTCAAGTGACTGTTTTTGTTGTTTGTGGATTTCAAAGGTTCAGATATTAGTTGAGAAATTCAACAGCAATAAGGATCTTGTTTGGCCGAACACTATTGCCAGTACTATTTCCCATGCTGCATAAGATGTTATCACACACATGGCATTGAAAGGATTTTTTCTCTTGAAGAACACCTTCATGTATGAGTTCACTGTGCACCGACCGATGAGCCCTATACAGTCTTGATGAATAACAAACCATGAATTGTGAATATATGTGCATATGTTGGAATTTGAAGGGTTCAGTCATATGTATGAATTTGCAAACATACTTATCAAGTTTCCAAAGATTATATGATCAAGACCTATTCAAAGATGGTTACTGGAGACTGTCATGGCCTAAAGGAACAGCATCCATTACTGTTTGTGTTACTATGGATTATTGGAACTGGAAAGGAGTCTATATTGAAATGTTCCTTCTCGTTTCTCCACAACTGCATGTATAAATATCTCTCTGAAGAAGCAAGGACATTTTTGAAGAAATTTTTGTTGCTTTCAGGAAGGTCAACATCAATGCTCTCAGTGAAATCCCTCTGCACACCTTCCACAAGGAGGAGGACACGGAGAAGCCTCCTGGAAACTTCCCAGTCAAGACGTGCATCTCTCAGTCCTACTGCTGTAAGAGATAGTGCCAAGAAACTCGTGGTAGCATCAACCGTCGGACGGAACAGGAGGTTCTCCTGCCCCCAGTGCAACAGGAGCTTCAGCTCCACTGTTGACATGGCCATGCATGTGCGGTTCAACCATAAGTGTGTCTGTGGGCAGGTGTTCCGTTTCCAGACGGGGTTGATGGCGCACAAGAGAGTGTGTTACTCAGTCAAGGCTTCCAAGTGATGCTCATGTATGTACGTACATATGTGTATGTGCAATACTCTTCCTCAACATTGACTGCAGATTAATTGAGTCTATCAGTTTTGTATTTATGATGGTAATTATAACTGGTGGTTTGCTTTAACTTTTGGAAAGCTTGTGACTTTCTTCATCTTGTACAATGAGTTTGGTTTGTCATTTTTGTATTTTTGATGGTAATTGTAACTGATGGTTTGCTTTTACTTGTGGAATTTCTTCATCTTGTAAAACTTCATCTTGTAGACACAGTGATTTTGAAAAACCTTGGGCATGTGGAAGGAAAATAGTATTGTAATGTAATGACTTTATTTAGTCAGCTGCAGGGTCACAGTATATAATCTGGAGGAACGATTCATGTAATGTCAGCTTTTTGTAGTTTGCTTCATTGTTTTGGTTGCAAATGACCAAGCCCAAAGTTTCATTTACTTTGATTGAGAGGCCTGATTGCTTTGGATATTGTATGAGAACAAATTGTGCTTTGGTAGCACTCATATTTTACACAAACATGTCTGTTGAAATGTTTCATTTTTTGTATTTCAAGATGAATACACATAATGATGAGGATTGTTCTTGTGTACAGATTGTAGAGCCATCTTATTTGAACAAGCAGGTTATCTGCAAGATACTCTAACAGACTGCATCAAGCATTTGAAGAGTTGCTTATCTGATAGCTAGGATGTTGGTGCACGAACATGGTTATATTAAAAGGACAGTCAGTTGTTGTGGAACATCTTGGTCTTCAGAATTGGGTAATGTCTTGGTGTTCAGAGAGACACTTGTTGGGTGACGTCTTGGTGTTCAGAGAGACACTTGTTGGGTGACGTCTTGGTCTTCAGAGAGACACTTGTTGGGTGACATCTTGGTCTTCAGAGAGACACTTGTTGGGTGACATCTTGGTGTTCAGAGAGACACTTGTTGGGTGACATCTTGGTCTTCGCCTTGGTGTTCAGAGAGACACTTGTTGGCTGACGCCTTGGTGTTCAGAGAGACACTTGTTGGGTGACGTCTTGGTCTTCAGAGAGACACTTGTTGGGTGACATCTTGGTGTTCAGAGAGACACTTGTTGGGTGACGTCTTGGTCTTCAGAGAGACACTTGTTGGGTGACATCTTGGTCTTCAGAGAGACACTTGTTGGGTGACGTCTTGGTGTTCAGAGAGACACTTGTTGGGTGACGTCTTGGTGTTCAGAGAGACACTTGTTGGGTGACGTCTTGGTCTTCAGAGAGACACTTGTTGGGTGACATCTTGGTCTTCAGAGAGACACTTGTTGGGTGACATCTTGGTGTTCAGAGAGACACTTGTTGGGTGACATCTTGGTGTTCAGAGAGACACTTGTTGGGTGGAACATCTTGGTCTTCAGAGAGACACTTGTTGGGTGACATCTTGGTCTTCAGAGAGACACTTGTTGGGTGACATCTTGGTCTTCAGAGACACTTGTTGGGTGACATCTTGGTCTTCAGAGAGACACTTGTTGGGTGACATCTTGGTCTTCAGAGAGACACTTGTTGGGTGACATCTTGGTGTTCAGAGAGACACTTGTTGGGTGACGTCTTGGTGTTCAGAGAGACACTTGTTGGGTGACGTCTTGGTGTTCAGAGAGACACTTGTTGGGTGACGTCTTGGTGTTCAGAGAGACACTTGTTGGGTGACATCTTGGTGTTCAGAGAGACACTTGTTGGGTGACGTCTTGGTGTTCAGAGAGACACTTGTTGGGTGACGTCTTGGTGTTCAGAGAGACACTTGTTGGGTGACATCTTGGTGTTCAGAGACACTTGTTGGGTGACATCTTGGTGTTCAGAGAGACACTTGTTGGGTGACATCTTGGTCTTCAGAGACACTTGTTGGGTGACGTCTTGGTGTTCAGAGAGACACTTGTTGGGTGACATCTTGGTCTTCAGAGAGACACTTGTTGGGTGACATCTTGGTCTTCAGAGAGACACTTGTTGGGTGACATCTTGGTCTTCAGAGAGACACTTGTTGGGTGACATCTTGGTCTTCAGAGAGACACTTGTTGGGTGACATCTTGGTCTTCAGAGAGACACTTGTTGGGTGACGTCTTGGTGTTCAGAGAGACACTTGTTGGGTGACATCTTGGTCTTCAGAGAGACACTTGTTGGGTGACATCTTGGTCTTCAGAGACACTTGTTGGGTGACATCTTGGTGTTCAGAGAGACACTTGTTGGGTGACATCTTGGTCTTCAGAGAGACACTTGTTGGGTGACGTCTTGGTGTTCAGAGAGACACTTGTTGGGTGACGTCTTGGTGTTCAGAGAGACACTTGTTGGGTGACATCTTGGTCTTCAGAGAGACACTTGTTGTGACGTCTTGGTGTTCAGAGAGACACTTGTTGGTGTTCTTCAGAGAGACACTTGTTGGGTGACGTCTTGGTGTTCAGAGAGACACTTGTTGGGTGACATCTTGATCTTCAGAGAGACACTTGTTGGGTGACGTCTTGGTGTTCAGAGAGACACTTGTTGGGTGACATCTTGGTCTTCAGAGAGACACTTGTTGGGTGACGTCTTGGCCTTCAGATAGACACAGTCAAGTGTTGGTGGATCTCTTGGTTGTTCAGAAAGACAGTCAAGTGTTTATGGACATGTTAGTGCTTTAGGGACATGGTACCATCTTGAATCAGCTGTGCCACAAATCAGTCAAGAACAATTAGGATATGGTACATCTTTGACTGAGACATTGGGCAGATATGATGATTCAGCACGTGTGGTAAAACAGAGGAGGGAGAGTTCCAGGTCGTGGGAGGATGTTTTCAGACACCAGTGCTATGACTTATCACACAGAGTCTGTGCATGAGAACGACAACTATCAGTGAGGTTGTGGAAATGCTATACAAGCCTGGACTATTCCAACATGCAAAGATGCATGTTCTACTTGTGTAGATTTGTTTTCTGCACCAGCCACTGTGTTCACAGCCTGGGTGGCCATGTCCTAAGCTTTATAGTCCGTTTGACTTCATTTGAGGCCGATGAATTGCTCACTAACACAAAATACATGCAACAAAACAAAACTTTGCACAGTCACATGAAATCGAACAGACCAACTCTGATTTGTCTCATAATTTTGGACACCCGAATAAAAACGGTTTTTAACAAACGATCATTATTTTGTTGTCACTTTTCGCTATTTTTTACGAAGGGGGACCACTTGCTGGTAGAACAGCCAGGTAATCAACAAGCATGTGCAGTGAAATTTCAATTTCACACGTACAACTTGCACACCTGGCTGTTCTACCAGCCAGTGGTCCTCCCTCATTAGAAACAGCAAAAAGTGACAACAAAATAATGATCGTTTGTTAAACAACTTTATTATTCGGGTGTCCGAAATTGTGAGACAAATCATCAGAGTTGGTCTGTCGATTTCATGTGACTGTGCAAAGTTTGATATTGTTGCATGTATTAGATTTTGTGTTAGTGAGCAATTCAAGGGTGTATTAGATTTTGTGTTAGTGAGCAATTCATCGGTCTCAAATGAAGTCAAACAGACGGTAATTGACTCAACTGGTTCTATTTGTCAATAGTTTGTCAGATCCATTGTCAGAAATTCAGAACCATACCGTTTTGTTACTTTGATATTTTGTGGTTTTGTTGATATTAAGCTGAAAGGCTGTGAGATGACTTAGATACTGTTCAAACAGCACTGGACTCCAACTCTTGAGAAAGGAGGGTGCACACTTCATTTTCACTCCTTTTCACGGGTCATTTAATAAACTTTCAGGATCCACCTGTGGACATGTTTTGTACTTCTGTGACATACTAGATTTGTTTTCAGAAGTAGGACTGACATGGGACTTTCCTTTAAATATTCTTGGTATAGGCTTTGGATGTTTGCTGGATGCTCATCACAACATGCAATATTTATCTGTCAGGAGTAACAGCATGATATTATATTTTTTCAGGAAATCTAGCATATCTGGTGAAAAAATTCTTTCTTTCCTTTTTAAAGTTAAAGCTAAAGCATATATTTTTCCAGTAATGTCTGGAACCTATCTTTTTTCAAAAACTTCACTGCTCCTGCCAATAATATCCTTTGGTTGATTTTTCTGAATATGTGATCATTTGGAGGCGATTACACTCAAACACTGTTGTGTCCACTTTTGATGTATTGGCTTGAGCAAAAACCTTGGTCCTTTATTTTGTCATCCTTTCGCATTTGTGTCAAACGTCAAAATATTTTAACTTCAATACAACTGTGTTTGACTGTAACTATGGTTACTACCCCTACTGGTAGCATAATGCCGTTATGTGGGGACCTTTAGTTTGTTCTTTATGTGTTCGGTTCCAACAAATGTTTTCGATATTTTCTGTCTGCGTTTGTATAGAATACAAACTTACTTTTTGCATTCTAAGACAACGAAATTGTATGATCAGCTTGCATAAATTGGATCATTTTTGCACTCAGATCTTTTCAGTTGTAAGCTAATCATTCATATTTGGGCATAAAATCATGTTTATGTTGTAGAAATAAGTATTTACGTAATCCCCACCTTTTGATTATATGCATGTAACATATGTAACTTTCATAATAAATTAGTTGACATCTCTATGTGTTGATGTTAGTTATTGCCAGAAATGGGCTTCACACATTGTACCCGGGTCTTTGTGTCACAAGCAAACACTTTAACCACTTGTTTGAGTGGCATTTTTAGAAGTTGAGACGTACAATATGGAACAAGTTTTTATGGATAATAACTTCTTTATTTGGTGAGTGCGATGTTTCGATACAGATTCTTGTACCGTTGTCAAGCAAGAGTGATACATGAAGTGGAGGAGCTGCATATTTATACTGTGTATAACAATGAAACAACATACATTGTAATTGACAAAGGAAACAACATAATTGCCATAATTGGTTAAGCAGTAAGCTGATGAAGCCAGTGAGTACACAAAGGATAGTGAATAGAAGCCAGAGATGTATAAATACAGGAGTGGTACAATGAAGGAGATGTTTATACAATAGATGCGATGTTTATACAATAGATTGGGCTTGGTGGAGGAGTGGATCATAAGCTGATGGAATGAAGTATCCTTGGTCACGGTTGATGGTGGGCTTCATTGTAACCACTCCTGTATTTATACATCTCTGGCTTCCACTCACTATCCTTTGTGTACTCACTGGCTTCATCAGCTTACTGCTTAACCAATTATGGCAATTATGTTGTTTCCTTTGTCAATTACAGTGTATGTTGTTTTATTGTTATACACAGTATAAATATGCAGCTCCTCCACTTCATGTATCACTCTTGCTTGACAACGGTACAAGAATCTGTATCGAAACGTCGCACTCACCAAATAAAGAAGTTGTTATCCACTTTAACCACTTGGCTGCCCAATTGCCCCGGTTTTGGCAAAAGGAGGGTGGGGTGGGGTGGTGGTGTGTGCACTTCACTGGTAGTAATGCAGTGGTTTCAGACAAGAAGGGTGTGCTTCACTTACAATAGTGGAGTGGTATCAGGCACGATGTGTGTAGTTAAGTAAAATATAATAAAAACAGTTTTGTTTCTGGTCCATGTCAGTGAAACAGTTTCATTTCTTTCTTTGTTTGAGTTTCTCACTCATAGTAAGTAATTTTTGTTTTTGTTTCATGTATAAAATATTGTTTACTGCAAAATTATTATTGGATTAACTTATTAATAATAATTTTGCAGTAAACAAGTTAATCCATTAATAATTTTGCAGTAAACAATATTTTATATGTTCATGATAACATGTATTCATATTAGCCCTGTTAGCTCTATCCACATGTATTGCGTCGTCATAGCATTGTGACGTCATAAGCATTGTGACATCACAGGCAGAGTAACAGTTACTGTTCTACCTGATGATGGGGCCAGAACAAGCCCTGAAACATTGTACCCAACAATAAAAAGTAGATGAAACCCAGAAAAGTCTCTATGTTCATCACATACAATCTTCTGAAATGCCAATCAAACATCATGTGATACTCCTCACTCTAGACCATTGTGACCATCTGATACTCCTCACTCTAGACCATTGTGACCATCTGATACTCCTCAGTCCAGACCATTGTGACCATCTGATACTCCTCCCTATAGACCATTGTGACCATCTGATACTCCTCTCTATAGACCATTGTGAACATCTGATACTCCTCACTATAGACCATCTGATACTCCTCACTCTAGACCATTGTGACCATCTGATACTCCTCCCTCTAGACCATTGTGACCACCTGATACTCCTCACTCTAGACCATTGTGACCATCTGATACTCCTCACTCTAGACCATTGTGACCACCTGATACTCCTCACTCTAGACCATTGTGACCATCTGATACTCTTCTGATACTCCTCACTCCCTAGACCATTGTGACCACCTGATACTCTACACTCTAGACCATTGTGGCCATCTGATTCTCCTCACTCTAGACCATTGTGACCATCTGATACTCTTCACTCTAGTCCATTGTGGCCATCTGATACTCCTCACTCTTCCAGACCATTGTGACCATCTGATACTCCTCACTCTAGACCATTGTGACCATCAGATACTACACACTCTAGACCATTGTGACCAGCTGATACTCCTCCCTATAGACCATTGTGACCATCTGATACTCCTCCATATAGACCATTGTGGCTACCTGATACTCCTCACTCTAGACCATTGTGACCATCTGATACTCTTCACTCTAGACCATTGTGACCATCTGATACTCTTCACTCTAGACCATTGTGACCATCTGATACTCCTCACTCTAGACCATTGTGGCCATCTGATACTCCTCACTCTAGACCATTGTGACCATCTGATACTCCTCACTCTAGACCATTGTGACCACCTGATACTCCTCACTCTAGACCATTGTGACCATCTGATACTCTTCACTCTAGACCATTGTGACCACCTGATACTCTACACTCTAGACCATTGTGACCATCTGATACTCCTCACTCTAGACCATTGTGACCACCTGATACTCCTCATTCTTTACCATTGCGACTACCTTATGCTCCTCACTCTAGGAAATGGAGAATGAAATCTTATTGCAACATAATTTGGATAAATGGATTCCTTCTGGCCAGGGCTTCTTCAGAAAGGCTGTGTAAACCATTTGATGATGTGAAAGATGTTCCACCAGTGTATAAATATGTTGCCGCTGAAAACGTGCCATTCTTTAAACCACCTTATTTCTATGCAGGTTACCAGGACTATCACAGTATGTTACATGACGTCACAATGGCCAACCAAGAAGAATACAGACTCTCTAACCCGGAAACCAGGACAAGATACACCTGCACCATCTGTGGCTCCTCCTACTCCACAGTATCCAACCTCAACCAGCACATGCGTCTCAAACACCAGGCCTCCACCAAATACAAGTGCCATATTTGTGAGAAAATGTTCATTCATAAACAGCACTACATCTCCCACGTGAACAGTCACAGCAACATCAAGCAGTTCCACTGTGACGTCTGCAGCAAGGAATTCTCCTATGAGAGTAGCTTGAAAGTGCATCAACGGAAACACCATTCAGCGAACTGGCACAGTGATTTTATGGAGTAGAGAGGCAGATTGGGCAAATGCATCATCAGAACCACAATTCGGTGAACTGGAACAGTGATTTTATGGAGTAGAGAGGAAAGAATTGGGGCAAGTTGGGCAAATGCATCACCAGAACCACAATTTGGTGAACTGGAACAGTGACTTATGGAGTAGAGGAAATAAATTGGGCAAGATCAGAGTTAAAGGTGCAACACCAGAAACACCATTTGAGAAGCTGCTTTGTGACTTATGGAGTAGAGGAAATAGGTTGGGCAAGATCAGAGTTAAAGGTGCAACACCAGAAACACCATTTGAGAAGCTGCTTTGTGACTTATGAAGTAGAGGAAATAGGCATTTGAGAAGCCGCTTTGTGACTTTTATGGAGTAGAGGAAATTATGGAGGTAAAAGTGCAACACCAGAAACACCATTTGAGAAGCTGCTTTGTGACTGGCAAAATCAGAGGTAAAGGTGCAACACCAGAAACACCATTTGAGAAGCTGCTTTGTGACTTATGAAGTAGAGGAAATAGGTTGGGCAAGATCAGAGTTAAAGGTGCAACACCAGAAACACCATTTGAGAAGCTGCTTTGTGACTTATGAAGTAGAGGAAATAGGTTGGGCAAGATCAGAGTTAAAGGTGCAACACCAGAAACACCATTTGAGAAGCTGCTTTGTGACTTATGGAGTAGAGGAAATAGGTGTGTCAAAATCAGAGGTAAAGGTTCATTACTGGTGACACAATTTGGAGTAGTTACACTGTGACTTTGCTGAACGACACTGAATAAAATCAGGGATTAAGACGTAATACCAGAAAGACCATACCTTGGACAACTCGCACTGTGTAACAGGAGTAACGCTGGGTGAAATAGGAGATTACAGAGCATTACAAGAAAAGTCATATGGAGGAGAACTTGTTTGATGACATTTATTGAGCAGAGGAGACACTGGGAAGGATCAGGGTTAACGGTACAAGAGATGTAGCAGGAAAGGATCGTGATAGTCACTGCGGGTCCAGATCCACAACACGTTCATAGCACTACGTAATTCATAATCCTGTAATAAACTATAAAGTTATGATACGTTGTAACATTATGAATGCTTTGTGGATCAGAACCCTGGTATCTTATCGATGTAGGACATATATTGTGTCCAACACCTGATAACGCTGGTATCGTTGGTCAGATAGCTGCATAGAACAATACTCATCTTTCTGCCAGATGATGTATTTTATGACAAATCATAATGTATTTGTGATGTATACATGTACATAAATACTGTACATTGAACAACAGAGAAAAATGACAATGTTGATTGTTGCATCCTGGCAGTGAAACCTTGACATAGACTGGTCATGTTTCCACAAACCAAAAGATGAAAGAGATGACACCCTCTAACAAACTCCTGTTTTCTGAGTTGTTTGCAATATAATGGGCAGCTTCTCAGCAGGTGTTTCATTATTACATATCACTGATTTTGTATGTTGTCTACATTTTTGTTTATTTTGGAACAAACCTAAATCCTAAATGCCAAAAATACTGGAGTCAGTTCTTAAGAAATGATGACAATGTAGGGCTGTCAGATGTGGTTATATATGGAGGTCGTTGCAGAAAACTGTCACAGATGAAGGACATCATTAATATATGCAGAATATTACACGTAGCAATACACAAATCATGAATATAATTTGCCAGAGACTGAAGGCAGTGTGGACCACCATTCTTGAAGGCCATTGCTACGGTTGGCAGGTGTCAAAACTTCAGACTTTACACACATGATAGTAACTGCACATGACCTTGACCTCTGA